TTATACAAGTCTTTTCTCCTATATTACGTCGATTTGATAAGTTGTGAATCATTACTTATATTTGTTACTAAAATGACCTCCAATTAAGTAAATTTTTTTAATTATTATGTTTAAATGAAATTAAAAAAAATTTAAATGTAATTTGTAAAATATTGAGATAACGACAACTCAAAACACATTAGACCTGGTAAATGTCAATAATTATAGAAACCGTGCACATAGTTCATATATTTCGAATCAAGAGAGTTAGACATTAATAATTTTTAAAATATTGAGATAACGACAACTCAAAACACATTAGATCTGGTAAATGTCAATAGTTATAGAAATCATTTGTATAACTCATACATGTCGAACCAAAGAGAAAGTGTCAATAGTTATAGAAATCATGAGTATAGCTCATACATGTCGAACCAAAGAGAGTCAGACATTAAAGTATTGATCCTACCAGTCTTATTTCCTATATTAAGTAATTTTTTAAAATTATTATGTTTAAATGAAATTAAACAATATATTTAAATAATATTTAAATGTAATTTGTAAAATATTGAGATAACGACAACTCAAAAGATATTAAACCCGATAAATATCGATAATTATAGAAATCATGTGTAAAGTTCATATATGTCGAATCAAAAGAGAGTCAAACATTAATAGTATCAATCATACAAATTTTGTCCCCTATGTTACGTCGTTTTGATAATTATGAATCATTATTATATTTGTTAACTAAAATGACCTACAAATTTCAATTAACTTATTTTTTAACTACTATATTTGAATAAAAAATTAATGTTAAAGTAAATTTAGTTAACACTAATCTTTTGGCCATAATCTGTTGTAATATTAGTTAGGTAATTTTTTTTATAATAATACAACCAATAAGAATATAATGACGTGTAATATAACGTGAAATTTTTCTTATTCTAATACAATCAACAAGTATACAATGTAATTCAGAATTATTATTTTTTTACTACTGATGTTACAATTTTTATTGTTTTTTGTAAAACATAATTTGAAAACATTTTTTTTATATAAGGTTGCATTGAGATCACTTAATGTTTTTCTTGTTGAAATTTGTAGTCTTTTTTTCATAATTGTCTATGGAATCATCATTAATGTCATTAATTATTTTTCAATATATTGAAAACATAATGGAAGATTATAGAGATCCCAAGAATGTATTCAATTTTCAAGCTAAAAAAGGATAAAATTATCCAAAATAAAACTAGTTTATAGTGTAAACATGTCCTTTTACTATTCTGGCCAAATTATGGCCAAACTTTTCTGGTCAAAAGGACTTTTCCTTATATGATAGCACCTGAATTCAATAATATTTGTCCAGTCCATAAATTCTATATATATTGAAAAATTTACAAAATATATATAAATATTTATTCCTTTTTGCAAGATAACTTTATGTTGAGTTAAGTTTCGATGAATTTTGTCAAAAATTTCAATCATCATCCTTCCTATATAAAACATCTATGGATGCTACTGAATTTTACGCTTCGCACGAACTAAACTATAACTTATTTCCTTTATTAAATTTTATGTAATAAGTGATAATTTAATTGAGTTAATAACTTTGATGGTCACTCAACTATCAACTCTTTTCACACAAAGTCACTCAACTTTCATTTTCAACTTAAAAGTCATTCAACTATGACTTCTTTGCACAGAAAGTCACTCAACCTATTTAATTATTTTTTTTCAATAAAATTTGCTAACATGAAATTTTTATTTTAGTCAAAATTTTAAGAACCAAATATATATTCATTTAAAATATTTAATGAGCCGCCCCATTCAATCCGACCCACTAAAAATATAATATAAAACTTTTTATTTTACCATTAACTATCGAACCAAAAATAATAATATCAAGCATAACTCTAGTTAATTTACTACTGATACATGAGTTTGTGACATTAAATAAAGTTGCACAAATTTAAAATAATGTAATGTGTTGCCTGTTAGGTAAGATTGTTCCAGTTGTATTGATTGATTAACTTTTTTTAAAAAAAGATAATAATAATAATTTAGGGAATTAATGGTAAAATAAAATATTCAATATTATATTTTTAGCGGGTCAGGTTGAATGGGCGGGTCATTAAATGGTTTAAATGAATATATATTTGGTTCTTAAAATTTGGTTAAAATAAAAATTTCATGTCAACAAATTTTAGTGAAAAAAATAATTAAATAGGTTGAGTGACTTTATGTGCAAAGAAGTCATAGTTGAGTGACTTTTATGTTGAAAATGAAAGTTGAGTGACTTTCTGTGAAAAGAATTAATAGTTGAGTGACCATCAATATTATTAACAAGCGTCTTAAATGAATAGCTACAATTAAAATAAATTATAGTGTAAGTGAGGTGGTAGCTAGAATAGCACTTGAAATGTTTATAGATTCATGGGATCCAACTCTTGCCATGTGTTATGTTTTTCTTGCTCCAATACGAGTTAAGTACTACACCCTCCGTCTCATTTTATATGTCATCCCTTTCTATAAATAGCTGAACCATAATACTTGTCATTTTATAGAATTTATGCATGAATTATCATATTTTGCCTATTATACCCTTGATAGAGTAGTTAATTAATCTTGAAAATGTATTCATCATTTATTATAAAGTTGACTTAAGAAAACATTAAATAAGGATAGAAGGGTAAAGTTACATAATTTCTTAATGCAAGTGCAAAGTAAAAATGTGACATATAAAATGGGACGGAGGGAGTATATTTTAGGGAAAAATGTCTGAAATATATCCGAACTTTGACCGAAATTGCTGTAATAATATCAAACTTTGGAATGGACCTTTTACCCCCTGCACTATTTAATAGTGTATTTTAAAGGTATATACGCGCTCACGTAAACATCATAAATATTGCATCATTTTAAATAGTAATGTGTCCACGTGGACACATATATACATTTTAAATACACTATTAAATAGTGCAGGGGATAAAAGGTCCTCCATAAAGTTTGATATCGTAACAACAATTTCGGCAAAAGTTTAAGTATTTTTCAGACCATTTTTCCTATATTTTATTAGCAAACTACTTATTTTAATATATTTTTATAATAAAGTCACTATGTAAACTACTTATATTAAAAATAAAAACTTTTAAAATAAAGTCAGTATCTTCCACCCAACTAGTAAAGGTTCCTTTTTCCTCTCTGTCCTTTTATCTGGAAAAGAAAAAAACGAAAAATTAAATTTGTGGTTCAGTATTTCTCACTTTTCTGGCTATGGCATAATTATTTGAGAAGAAAAAAACAAGGAAAATAAGTGCCTAAAAAGAAGGAAAATAAGATGCCAGAAAGATTTACATACTCCAAATGTTAATTTATTTGATCTAGTTTTTTTTTCCATTTAAAATAAATTTATATGTTTATATATATATTTTAATAATTTTAATTTTTTTATATGATATATTTAAGATTACAAAATTAATGAACATCTTAGTATATTTAACATATTTTATTTTTTTATAAAAAAAAAACTCCACAGCATATTAAAATAAATCAAATAAATTAAAACAAAACCACGTCAATTTAACGCCGTACTTTTCTCAACCTCAAGGTTAGAGAAAAGTAGAAATATAAACACGTGCATCACGAGATTTTATTGTGATGTTGAGAGCTGGGAAGTGTGAACTGTGAAGTACTTGTTTCGTTTTAAATGCCGTTGCATTATTTAATTTATTATATAAAAATTAAATAAAAATATTTTTTTCTTGAAATTCATGATTTTAATTAAATATTATATATTTGTGTGATAGTAAAAATCTTATGACCTATAATTTTAAGAATTTTATTTTTTATTTTTACTCAATAAATTTTTATTTTATTTTACGTTAGACTTAAATATTTTGGGATGAGCTAATATTAATAAATAAAAAAATATTAAAAATAAATAAAATGATTAAATTATTAAATTTGAGTTGAGAGTATTTTTAGATTAAAAAGTGAAAGCTGAGAATCGTTTGAACTAAAAATAAAGATGAAGGATATTTTTAGTCTAAATAGTTAAATGAGCGTATTTATGAGTAATTTTTAACCAGTTAAATGTATTCTCAACCTTTTTTCTCTTTTTTATAAAAAAAAAGAAGAAAAAAAAATGTGTCACATGAACTGAGACGAACTTGAGAAGGTGAGGTCCCTTTAAATATGGTCTTCAACAACTTTCAGTTTTAACTTAATTTAGTACTAAGTCTCTTTATATATGGCATTTCACATAATAATTTTTACTATTTCTTTTGAAGTTGAGAGGTAGATAAAGACTCAACTCTTTGCAGATAAGTCTATAGTCCACTCTCTCTGTGTAACATCATCTGCCTCAACTGGCTCATGATTTCAAGAAAATAAATAAATATAATATATCTTGTGATCTGCTACTTGCATTCAGTGCCTCAATAATATCTTCTTCTTTTTTTTCTTTCTATTTATAGTAAGACCATAAAAAGTGAAGGTTAGTGGGGTTGAAGAATGGAGATAGTAGATTGGAAATGGGAGCAAAATGAGATGGAAGTTGAAGAAGGAGAAGGGGGTCTTCAAGTAAGAAGCTCTAAGGTTACTAAAGAAGTGACAAATGGGAAAATTGAGACAAATGGGCATGGAAATTCTACCCTAAAGATGACTAATGGAACAGAAAAATCTGTTCTTGGTGATGAACAAGAAAGGTCAGAGGAGGAGAAGCTTTCAGATTCCATTAATGGGGTTGAAGATGAAGAGGGAACTGAGCCAAAAGATAAGTTATTTGAACATATTGTAGTTTCAATTAATGGGGTTGAGGAAAAATCTGATCTTGATGATGAACAAGAAAGGTCAGAGGAGCATATTTCAGATTTCAATAATGGGGTTGAAGAGGGAACAGAAAAATCTGATCTTGATGATGAACTGGAGAGGTCAGAGGAGCAGCATATTTCAGATTCCTATAATGGGGTTGAAGTTGAAGAGGAAACAAAACCCAAAGAAGAGTCTGTTCAGCATATTTTACTTTCAAATAATGGGGTTGAAGTTGAAGTTCACGGGGAAACAAAACCAAAAGAGGAGTCAGTTCAGCTGATTGTAGCTTCAAATAATGGGGTTGAAGAGGGAACTGAACCAAAAGAAGAGCCAGTTCAGAAGATTGTGGCTTCAAATAATGGGGTTGAAGAGAGAACTGAACCAAAAGAAGAGTCAGTTCAGAGGATTGTGTCTTCAAATTGTGGGGTTGAAGAAGGAACTGAACCAAAAGAAGAGTCAAAACAGCATCTTGTGACTTCTACTAATGGGGTTGAAGTTGAAGAGGGAACAGAAGCTGAAGAAGATTCTGTTCAGCAGATTGTAGTAGTTTCAAATAATGGGGTTGAAGAGGGAACTGAACCAAAAGAAGAGTCAAAACAGCATCTTGTGACTTTTACTAATGGGGTTGAAGTTGAAGAGGGAGCTGAAGAGTCAATTCAGCATATTGTAGTTTCAAATAATGAGGTTGAAGAGGGAACTGAACCTAAAAAAGAGTCAAAGCAGCATCTTGTGATTTCTACTAATGGGGTTGAAGAGGGAACAGAAGCTGAAGAAGGGCCCTTCAGCTCAGGCCATTCTGTCTATTATGACAAAGATGAAGGTATATATTATATTACATCAACTGTTTTTGACCATTTTTTTGTACTTAAATTCCTTATGAAATTCTCTCTTGATTCTTCTTTCTTAAGATCTGTGTATTTACATGTCTTCTTCATTGGGTTTGTAGGGTAAAGTATACAGTATTCAGGGTAGTGATAGAAAAACTCTTTTGAACCCCACGTCTTACCCTACTTGTCTGAAACTATTTCTTCTTTATTTGATTGATTCAGTTCAAAAAAAATAAAAATTTCTTCTGTACTGCAAAGGGACCCTTTGATTAATACATATGTTTGTTCGTTTGTTTGTGTATGCATATATACATCATAAAGGTTTGTGGTTTGCATAAATATGTCACTGTGTTGAAGTTTATGGCAATGGGGTGAAATTTCTCAAGGATAACTCTGCTTAGAAATTTGAGGATGTGCATATTTGGTTTCTTGATTCTCTTCTTGCTTCTTACTTGAGGTGAGGGACTTGTTTCCTTTGCATTTATGGAGATGAAAAACTTTATTGCTTAGTCTTAGGCTTAATTCCAGAAAATCTTCTGTGGGACAGTTGTTCCTTTGTATCTTTAATTTTTTGCCATTTGTTGTCTAATCTTCAACATTTGTGGTGAGGAATCTTTCTGAGATTAACTCTCATCTAGATCCCTTAGAAAGGACAAACTTTTCTGGGAAATTTGAAGATTCACTATTCTTTAAAATGAATTAATCCCTTTGTGATCAAGATGTTTGACTCAACTGATATTTTTACTCCCTCCATTTCAAATTAATTGAATTGTTGAGGTGTTTCATACCCTTTAAAAAAAGAAGATTAAGACATAAATTAAGCATAATTTTCCATTTTTACCCTTATTAATTATTGTCAAATTTATGATTACAATAACTAAACATTATTTAATAACTAATTCCAATACTGACTAATAAAGGGTAAAATTGGAAGAACATTTTAAAAGTAGTTTTGAAAATTGAACAATTAAGTTAATTTGAAAAATGAAAAAAAATGTCTCAACAATTCAATTAATTTGAAATGGAGGGAGTATAAAAGAATAGTAGATTAGGTGTGATAGTGTGTAGAATTAGCTAGTGCATGTTGGGTAAAGTTTGATAGCTATTCATTTGGGGGAGTTCCGTTGGGAGCAGAAGATCATAGGTTAATGCCTCCGGAGAAGCTAACCCTCCACAAGGACTCATGTTTGAAGATCCATGTCCATAGTCACTGCTAATGAGTAAGGCCTTCAAACATTCAGACTATAGCTGAACAAAGTTTACACTTAAATGGAATCTCGCAGACACTTGCAGTCTGGGTGCTTAAGTGAAGTGTGAGTAAGCATTGAACTCTCTTTAACTATGAGACCCTCAATGACATAGTTTTTAGATTCAGTTTTTTCCTAATAAGATATTGACTTGGCATTAGAAGTACTGCCACTGATTGTGTTCATCTGCTGGCAAGAACTGGATGCTATTTTCAAGTGACTGATTATGTATATTCTAGTAGTAGATATAGAGATCCACCAGTAGTCCCCTACTAAATGTTTTAAAATAACATCTATGCCTTGTCTTTGAACCACTTAGATGAATCAACCTCGTTTTCTCATGCATTAGGCACAACATGCAATTTTTGCAATCATTCTTTCTGTTTGATTGAAGGAATATGGAAGTGTCGAGCCTGCAGTTGGACTTTGCAAGGCAAAAGCCTAGATATTGGTTGGACAAAGATTCCTAGGGGCTACTTGGATAAGCTGATTAATTACCCAATGTTAGATCAGAGGGGAAGCAAAGGTCAGTTGATACTTTGATTTTAACAAAACAACCATGACTGGTAGAGAAGTGATGTTGTCAATTAACAGAACAGTTTCTATGGATATTTAAGGAGTAGCACAATCGCAGAATCTACTTTCAATGTGATGAATGGTTCTAACATCTGCAGATGCTACATAATAGGCTGCAAGCAAATATTATAAGTGTGTCCTTTTTCTCCTTGCTCCTTATGGTTTCAGGCTATTTTGCCTGTACATTTGCATCGTGAAAGCCATTATTTTAGTAATTTTTAGCGGCGCCTTTAACGATGAGAGAAGACGTTACCGAAGAGAATAACTCAAGGGCACTGACTACTCCATCAACTCAATTTCGCTGCGTAAGTGAGGATGCCAATCATCATAGTCTGAACTTGAAACCTTTTGTAGGCTTATCTCGTCGATTGGCATTCCGATCCTGGTAATTCGTAGATAGTCGGCGTTTTTAGTAATTGTCTATCACCCATTCCTGATAGCCGCAGCTCTGCCTGTTCCCTTTCCCATTAAAGAATGAATGGGGATTGATCATCATCTCTATCTCCCTAATCAATCCTCCTAGGTCTATGAATTTCTCTATCTATTCCACTACATTATCTCTTTACATGGGGCAGCAGAGTTATGGTTTCAATTCTAAGGTCCTCGGTCTCCATGTGTTCTGTTTTTTCCTGTATTATGATTTATCCTATATGACTATAATCTTACCCAGTCTATTGATTGATTGTGATATTGGTTTTCAGCTAAGCAAATTTGGTGAACTTCAGTTAAAACTTCGATGTTATAACTAGCTTTCTCTTGTGAATGGCAGAAAATTTTAAAGTTCTTGTCCTGATTAATTGTTTGAACATGTTTTTCAAGTTGAGTTTCAGATTCACGTTTGTGCTTCTGTCTAGATTTTGAGAGTTGGAAAAGTCATTTGAAGTGAAGAGTTGAATTATTTCATATGCATGCAGATAGTAACTTCATTTCTACACATTCCATAAAGGAGAAGATCTATAAAATTCCAGGAGATGAAGGAGTTCAAGAGAGTGCTACTCTAGACATTCACCTTAATGGATATTTGAAGAGTTACAACTTATCAAGTTCCAGTGTTCAGTTTCCCAAAAATCTTTCAGAAGATCACAGCATTGTTCATAAGTCCACTGCCATTGATGAAATAGAAAGTGCAGACCCTGACCTGATAGATGACAGTGACACTGATGTAAAAGATTTTGATGTTGAGAATGTACTTCAGAAGCAGAATACACATGATCTTTATTGCCCTAATTGCAAGTCATGCATTACTAAGAGGGTTATTCTTCGTAAAAGAAAACGTAAAATTCGGGTTTCTGGTGATGATGTCAAACGTGTCAAACCTGAAGTTGTAGTTGATTCCAAAGTGGATGCTAGTCATGCACAGGCAGCTGATGATGAAGTACGTGATGGAGCCGACTGTTCTCTTCCACCATTGGCAGTGGATGACTACCAGCCTGATAGAGAGCCAGAGCTATTCAGATGCTTATCATGCTTCAGTTTTTTTATTCCAGCAGGTACAAACCTTTGCATTACCTTGAAAGTCAACATAAAATCTGGTTGCCGCTTGTCATCGCAATGCAGTTTATGGTGAACTGTTTCATGTGCAATGACATGAATATACCTTGCTCAAATATCTGTGTGTATTGTTATTTCAGAGTTATCCATTGTTTGGTAATCTAGCAGGCCCAATAGAAGCTAAAATAGGTCGATAACTTATTACTTTTGCTTATAGCTACATGATGGAATGACTTCATCTTCTTTCCTTTAGGACTCATGAAAGGCGGTCAAAACTTCTCTTTTTGGGGGAAGAAGAGTGAAAAATGAACAAAAACTAAAGAAAAGAAATTGGCCTTCAATATTTGGCTTGGGATTAGCTGATATAATGTTTAAAATGAATCATACTCTTCTTTTACTTGAAGAGTTCCAGACACTTGTGATCATGTTTTATAAAGCATATACTATATCATCGTGAGATCGTTGAATTACATATGATGTTGGTGTTAATTTTTTTCTTTTAAGTGGAACCGGAATTGTTTTTTTTTAGATGTAGATCGTATGGAAAGAAGTGGTTCTTCTCCTTAATCCATGTGCTTGTGAATGTAAAACAGTCTACCCAGTAGTGTATAGTTTGCAAGAATTACCATTCAAAAAGGAGCTGTATTGTAGTCTCAATCTGTTGCATTCTGTTGGGGACAGACTGTGGTTGGTACTCAGCAAATACACTCAAACAAATTCAATAATTAGTCTAGATTGCATGCAATTTTTGTTTTTGGTGACTGAGATTAACTTAGAAATGACCCTTTTTTCAAACTTTCAGGGAGTGGATTCAAACTGTTCCGATTTTTTGGAGACAAAGGTGCTAAAGAAAATGTCAAAGGTGAACAGACACCTACAAAGAACAAAAAATGGTTCTCCCCTATCTTTGGATTAGATAAGGGAAAAGCACCAGTTGAGCAAGGTACTGAGTTTTCCACTTCTATTTTTTTTTTTCCAATTGTGTTTACCTAACGAGCATTATAAATTCCAACTCTACACAAAGTAGCATCTATCTACAAATTTCTTTCAGAAAAAAGAAAAAGAAGAAAGACCTCAAAATGTGTTTAGTCATTCATAAAAAATGGGATTTTGTGTGAAGTATGAACTGCAAAATGCATTGAGATGCTTTTCATACTAGTCTGGTACATTTTAGAGCTGTAGTTGATTGATCGTAAAGCAATACCTTGATATTGGAGACATTTCAATTGTTTAGTTCAGATGTTTTTACAGTTTAAAGTATTGGGGGAAAGGGGATGATGTAAATGACATAGAGTCAATGATGGATTCCTCAAATGGGCTAGAGATATAGCAAAAGAGAGTCTATCTTATTTTTGTTTACTCTTTGTTCCAACAGCACCTTCTTGGTACTTGTTTCCTTTTCTTTTTTTAAATACTCCCCTTGTTTCAATTTGTTTGTTTTAGTTCGGAGTATGGGGGTCAAACTAACTACTGTTAGGTGTGTATTCGGACATAGAACCTTCCATTTTTTTCAAAACAAAATTTACATATTTAGAAACTACATAAAAAGTACAATAAATCTCAATAGTTAACAATTCAAAATATTTAGAAAGTATTTGAAAAAATTGCGGTCAAAGAAAATATCCTTCGATTGTCCAGATAGAAACTAAGACAAACATATTGAAATGGAGAGAGTAATACATACCTTATTAAGAAAACGACCATTGTAAGTGAGGTACTTTTATAGCTGGTAACTGTACTTCTGCCATGTTGAAATAAATATGTGGAGTTGACAATGAAAAAGTTATGAGGCTGGATTTTAGTTCGGTATGACATGTTGCAAATCCAATAGAAGCTAAAACTCCTAGCTAGAAAGAGGTTCCCAAATGACATTCTCTGTGTAAAGCAATAGGATGAACTTATGGCTAGTTCTGGTCATTGCATTGCTTAACATAGTGAAAATTTAAAGATTATCATGCTGTTTAAATTGATGGCCTTTCTCATGCAGGAAGTGGTATTGGGGCAAGTGTAGTGAAAAATGATTCTGGAGTACTTATGCCATCAGCCCCACCTGCATATTCCAGCAGTGAAATCACTCAGGAAGCTGGAGGGAAAATTTTAGGATCAAAGAACCAAGATGCAAATATGAAAGGGAAAATGGTGATTGATACAGTGGGTAAATCAGAGAATGCAACAAAGAGTCGAGAAGGTACAATAAAGATTTTCACCTTTGTTTTTTAAAGGGAAAATAAATGCATCTTGTTACTGTGACTTCATTGAAAACCTTTTTGAGCCATATCCATCTATGCTTTGATTTTAGCTATTATTGTGCATGTTTTATGCAGCTATGCTTCTATAGCTTGAATATAATACACTACCCATGCTCCTCAAGGCTTTCTTTTAAAGGGCATGCCAAATTCCCATGCTTGCATCTCTTTGTCAGCACTATATTATTTTCTAGTAAATATTAAAATGAAGAATCTGTAAACTAAGTTCACCAATTCAGGTTTAACACAGGCCCTGCTCACAAGAAGCATTTCTTATTAGAATGAAATATCTGATAACCACAAAGAAGTTACAAATAAGAAATGTTTCTTGTGTTTCTTTTCCATGTGGTTGAATGAAATAGCTGATGTAAAGTAAAATCGTGTCAGACTGTGAGTACTTAAAATGAGGGAGTGTAAGGATTTAAATCTTTTGCTTGTCACAGATAGTTAAAGAAATAGCCTTTGCTTGTGATCACGTCAAAAAGCATCCATAACATGGATGAGTAGATAAGTTTAGTGATCCGATTTTGCATTATGTCTAATTACTTATTTGCCATCAGATCTTTCTGCTCCTTGGTGCATTTTCCTGCACTTTTTTCTTTACGATTTTGTTTTCTCTTGTGCAGCAGGTTCTGTCCTTGACATCTTTGATTCAGAGACCTATAATCAGCCAAGCGTCTCAGCTTCTTCTAATGAAGTTCAAGGAAATGATAAGAATGATGAGCTGTTAAGAAACACTGGCAGAATTCAAGTTAGCAATGGAAATCTTGTGCAGGAAAGTCTGCCAGCACCTAGTGATAAGAAGGATCAGCTGTTGAGACCCGGTGGAAAAATTCAATCTAGTAATGGAAATCTTGTGCAGGACAGTGTGCCAGCATCTCAACAAAATGAACTAAAGCTTCTGATAACTTCAACAAAGGAGGAGTCTCTAACTATTGAGAAATCAGAGACTGACTTAAAATCTGATGGGGGAATACTAAATAAAGATCCAGGTAGTGTTTCTAGTATGAAATTTACTCTATTAAGATGATTTCACTGAAAAAACAATGTCTGCTCATGCTAATTTCAATTCAGAACATGTAATGTGTTGCCCTTTTTGAACATTCTACCTCAACCTTGCGAAAAAAAGAAAAAGAAATGGATTTGCCTCAACTTCCCTCAACTATTTCAGTGGTCAGTCAATGGTAATATAAATGTTATCTTCACATGTAGCTGTTGTGCTGAGATGCATATGGCAAGTAGTTGTACTACTCATTGCACTCTCTGGGTGCTATTCTTAGCATAAAATTTCATTACATTTTTTTGAAAAGAAATGTTATTTTTACTCAATCTGCATTACTTTAGGGGGAATTTTCAATTTTCACATGCCCCACCAAGAAAAAAGTGTTTTCTCTTTATTTTATATTTGAAAAAAAGAAAAAGATCCTTTTTGCTTTGTTGACTAACTTGGATGTAATCACAATGACCTGTCTATTATATAATACTCCAATAATCATAATTGGATTCAGCTCCTACTTGGCTTCATGTGAATAAACAAATAATGAGTCCTTTCTGTCTTCAGCAACCACAGCTTTTGCACTCAACGGCTTAGATGGAAATGGGAAACCCAATTTTTTGACAGAAATCCCTCAAGAACATGTGCAACATATCGAAGCCATGTTTTCCTCTGAATCTCTGGTGGCAAACAATGACAATAAATTTCAACTTAGTAGTGAAGGTATGTCACTAACCCTCCTCTTAGTTCTCTGGTTACAAGCTCATAATTACTTGCATATTTGTCAATACTGGGCTAAAAATTGTTGTAAGATGCGAACAGAGTGTTAAGAATGGCGAAATTGTTGGTTTTTTAATAGAGAAATAAAGAAAATAACAGAGAAAGACTTTGAGAGAAAAAATACTGCAGTATTATCAAAGGGAATTATTTTATTAATAATTCAGAGACTTGCATTTATAGATATAATTCCTAACTAAAAATAGAAAAATAAGATACTAACTTATCTACTTAATTCAAATAACAAATAAAAAGAACTAACTCCTAAATATAAGTCAAATAGGACTCTAATAACATAATTTAAAAATCCTAAAAATAGCTAACTATTTTATTTCTTGCAATATCCTGAGACATATTCTCAACACTCCTTCTTGGATTAGGAATTGTAGATTGTAGTCTCATCTGAAATTGACCTTGTGAACAAATCTGCTAATTCATCCTTTGTCTTGCAAGGCTTGTGTGCATCTTCTGTTGGATTAAATGAGAAGCTCTTACCTCTCATTTCAACTTGTAAAATCTCTTGCTTAGTAGAATCAAAGATTCGACAATATTTGTCTTCAAATAATAATTTAAATCTTTTTTCTATTAATTGACCAACACTAAACAAACTTTTATCAATATCAGGCACATAAAGAACATCTGAAACTATTTTTGTACCTGAATTTGTTTTAATTGAAACATACCCTTTTCCTTTTGCAAGAATACAATCACCCATTCCCAATTTTTGACTTTCTTATTTTCCATAGGAATGAACTCTTTAAAAAGATTTCTTTCATATGTCATGTAATTTGTACAACCACTATCAATCGTCCAAAAATCAGATTTTTTGGTTGAAAAACAAGTTGCCAAAAATAAGTGGTCTTCTTCTTCTACAGTAGTGACTTGGGCAACTGTTTCATCTTTTTGAAATTTGATTTTGCAAATCACAGCTTCATGACCAAGTTGTTTGCAGTTCTTGCACTGTGCATCTGGTCTTTTCCAATATTTATATGGAGGATGTCCATTTTTTCCACAGTGCTGACAAGGTGGGTAATTTTTCAAAAATTTACCCTTGCTTTGAGTTTTGTGGCTGGCTACTAATGCTTCTTCAACCATGCCATCTTGCCTCATAAGTCTCCTTTGTTCCTGAGCCTGTAAAGAATTTAACAATTCTGCCAAGGTAATTTTGGACAGATCTTGTGTGTTTTCCAAAGTAGTTATACATGCTTCATATCTTTCGGGCACTGTAACAAAAACTTTTTCAACAAATCTTGTATCTTTAAATTCAGTGCCTAGTAATCTTACCTTGTTGACAATACCAAGCAATCTGTCAGAATATTCATTAACTGTTTCTGACTCTTTCATTCTTTGCAATTCGAATTCCCTCGTTAAATTTAATACCTTCATTCCTCGTATTCTTTCATCTCCAGCATATTCTTTCTTCAGATAATTCCAAATATCTTTTGGTGATGTGAGAGTCATGATTTTCGTGAAAACAGTTGTCGAAACATCAGCAAACAAAGTTGTTTTTGCCTTCGACTTAATGGTTTCCTTTTCCTTGTGACTCTTGATCTGGGCCACGGTAGAATTATTTGACAGCGGATTAATTTCTTAATCCTCTTCCACGGCTTCTCAAAGATCAAGAGCCTCCAAGTAGGTCTCCATTCTTACAAGCCCATAGTTGATAATTCTCACCATGAAAAATAGGAGGAGCCATTCGTGAAAAACTATTTTCGGAATTCATTTTTCTACTCACAGGTCCCTCAAGAATAAGGCTCTGATACCAATTGTTGGTATTTTAATAAAGAAATAAAGAAAATAACAGAGAAAGACTTTGAGAGAAAAAATATTGCAGTATTATCAAAGAGAATTATTTTATTAATAATTCAGAGACTTGCATTTATAGATATAATTCCTAACTAAAAATAGAAAAATAAGATACTAACTTATCAGCTTAATTCAAATAACAAATAAAAAGAACTAACTCCTAAATATAAGTCAAATAAGACTCTAATAACATAATTTAAAAATCCTAAAAATAGCTAACTGTTTTATTTCTGCAATATCCTGAGACATTCTCAACAGAAATCCTGAATGGTTTACCTGAAATAGGTTATCTCTTGAATAAGTGTTTCCCCGTCACCTGAAGCTTTAATTTCCAATTTAGTTCGTAGGAATTTAGGCACTTAATCTTTTGTATGTGTAATTATTTGCGCTAAAAAGAGCAATTCCATTTATCTGCTAAATGTTGGTTCGGAATGAAGTATTTTTGTTGCACTCTCATCAACTTGTCATCTGCGGTATAGTGGTGTTAGTTTGAGAAAAGTTTTTTGCCTTTATGCTGCCTTACTAGTGTTTGATTTGATTGCTTTGCTGCCAATTACTATGTCTCCCTTTCATTGACAGACGGCGCCCATCACTATGAAGTTTCTCAGCATACCATCACAAAGACCAATATAGAGATCCACTCAAAGCAGCCTTTAAACGTTGATGAGCATGACTTGATTTCATCGGTGAAGGATGCTTTATCAATTCAAGATAAGCTGGATAACATCCCCAACATTACTGTGGAAGCAGCTGCAAATAACATTGCAGGTAAGAACTGGACATATTTCATTGTAATACTTTATGGTGACTATACATAAATCTAGTTGCAATTAGGGATCAGAGATTATTGAGAAAGGCTTTTTCATCAGCCTCTCACCACTTGTAAGCTTCCTAATAAAAGCTCTCCTAAAGCTGTGAGTCGATGACAAAGTATGTCGAAAGAGTTGAAGCATTATTAACCATGTAATCATTATACTAGTTGATGTATAAAGTTGATTGATTTTGAAAAATGGAAGAATCTATAATCTGATGTATCATCTTCTACCATACTATCAATCCAAATGCTTGGACTGCCAAGCACAGCATATACTTAGTGACTAGTGCTGAACTTCTGCTGTCAGTATCTTGCTTAAAGAAGAACTAGGCTAGTAGGATTGTTGTGTTTTTATGTTGAATAATTTATGCGATTATGCTGAATAGAGGTTGAATAAAGATGATTGTGCATATTCTCAGCACTGCTACTTCGTAAAATGGAGTTTTATGTAGCTTAGATTTCTTGACTCAATTGTGTGGCAGGCAACGATACTATTATAACTGTGGAAGCTGGGCATGAAACTAGAGAAACAGCTTCAGCAAATCTAGATACTCAAATCCAATCTGTTGAAGGACAGGCAACTGATGGTGCAGATGGTTACAAAATTGAGATCATTAAAAGCATTATATTTGGGGGTTTAGCTGAATCAATTACAAGCTTAAGCGTTGTAGCGTCTGCTACTGGTGGTGACACAACTACATGTAAGAGATATGTAGTATTATCATGTTTCAATCATCGATAACATAGTTCAATTACTCAACTGATGCTTTATCTGAATTTTCACAAGTATTTATTCATTTACCCTCACTGGTGTGGGAATAGTGCCTCTGACAAACTTAGCCAAAAAATAAATCTTGTTTATATGGATTAATAGTACAATTTGACTTTAGGCTAATTAAAAAATTTGTAACTGATTTTCTTGGTCAATTATAATTTGATTTTGCTATGGATGTATTCCATCTTCTTGAACATCTAAAAATTATTTGAGAAAAAAAAAACCACTTTTATAAAAGGCTCTGGCTCCCTACTTTGTCTTTTAAACTTTCTTCTTGTTTTGATGGTATCTTCATGTCTTACTGCAGTGAACATTTTAGTTCTAGCAATGGCTAATCTGATTGGTGGACTTTTCATCATTTTCCACAATGTAAGTTGGCTTTAGCATTTTGCCATGATTTCTTCACTTCCAATTATTTTTTTCCATCTGCTTTAGTATGCTTTCCTAGAGCCGATGGTCTATCAGAAACAACTTCTCTACCTCCCATGATAGGGATAAAGGTCTGCATACGCTCTACCCTCCCCAAACCCAACTTGTTGGATTACATTGAGTATGTTGTTGTTGGATTTCTTATGAACGGATTATTTACCTAGGGGAGACAAGCACTCTCCAACAAAAATTAGGTCGTAGCTGCACCCAAGGGTGTGGCCTAGTGGTCAATGAAGTGGGTTGAGCACCATGAAGTCTCAGGTTCAATTCTCAGCAGAGACAAGACACTAGGTGATTTATTCTCATGTTCAATTCCCAGCAGAGACAAACACTAGGTGATTTATTCCCATTTGTTTTAACCTTGGTGGATAGAGTTACTTGGTACTTGTTGTTATTACGAGGTGACAAATATCCCATAAAATTAGTCGAGGTGAGTGCAAGCATTCTCGAACACCATGGTTATAAAAAAAAATTAGGTCCTAGCAATGGCACAGAAGAACCATTTAACCTGAAGCTTTAGCCAACCTCTTCATTTGCGGGACTAAAAGATGCTAATAGAGATGGGAAATGTTTTATCACATTTTGAAGCCATGTTTTCCTTCTTACCAGAATTTACTCAAATCAATCAATTTGTGGGGGCATCTTTTCTTCCTCATGTTTTCAGTTCAATTTTCTGTATCCATTCTGAATTCATAAAACTTGCAGCTTTGGGAGTTGAAAAGAGATCGTTTCGAGCAAGCCAGCAATCAGATAATGGAAAAACATGTAGATAGGTATCGAGAACAACTTGGCCGGAGAGAAAACTTCACACTGCATGCTGTACTTGTTATATTATCATATATTATATTTGGACTATTGCCTCCCGTAACCTATGGCTTCTCGTTCCGCAAAAGTGATGACAAGGACCTCAAGATTGTGGCAGTTGCTGCAGCTTCACTTGTATGCATCTTAATGCTGGCTACTGGAAAGGCCTATGTTCAGAGAGCACCCAAACCTTACTTCAAAACTATATCAACTTACATTATTTTAGGCTTCACGGTTTCTGGTGTATCTTATGCAGCAGGCATACTATTCAATAGACTGCTGGAAAAGTTTGGGTTTTTCCAGCCTAGTTCAACACTGAACCTGTTCCTTCCGGAGATGCCGGAGACTGGAGCAGCATGGGCATCCTTTTGAAGAGCAGAGAATGATGAACCACAAACATGTAACCTCCAGGAATATCCTCTAGTTCTTTATGGTTTGCTTTTTTTGGCTTTTTTATTTTAGATTTAGCCTCTCCCCTTGTTATTTTAAGTTACTTAGTTTAAACACTCGATAAGAATAAATATCTGCATTACAATACTTGCGTTAGTAATCTATGCACAACTTGCTTCCAAACCAAACGACCCTGAATGAAAAGAATAGAAACTCTGCTGAGTTTCTGAAAGAAAATTGAAATGAAAGCACATGATATCATTTCTTTGGATAAGCTGAGAACGTAAGTTCAGTATATAGTCTTCTCTTGTAAACTAACAAATATAGAACTCTGATCAATCACTTAACAATGGTTAAGTAATAGATGTATATTGAAAGATTCATGTCTTGCATTCATTAGTTTGTTGTGAACACTATAGCTAAGTTGTTCGGACCCTCCAATGATAATCCATATCTTTTGGAGGATCTAACACACATAGAGTCAGGCAATCATAATCCGGAAGCGCAAGTAAGTAGAGTATTTACCCCAATTGACTAAGATTGCTTGTAAAGCTCTTCCCTTTCATCTATTTTTGTTTTATATTTGGAATCTTCCTTTTTTGTAATTTTTAGGAATAAAAGTACATTCAGTTTTTTCTACCATGTCATTTCCCTTCACAGCTTTTAGTAATTGGACAGATATAGGAAAGAGATAGGTGGGCTAAAAATTTGTAAGTTTCTTGTTTTCTCTACCTTCTTGTTTTTGTCACCGGGGGGAAAAAGTTGTGGTTGAGAGACGATCCATTTTTCATGGTAGATGAACCTAGCTAGAGGAAAAGGAAATGGATAAGAGGGTAATGTTGAAACTTATACATCGATGTGTCACAAATAAGTGTTTGATTTTAAAATACAAGTGTGTTTCCGATACTAAGCCATATGCTTCAACAAATAGCAAAAATGGCATAATAGATGGATGAAATTATGAAGGTCATCCAGACTCTACTCGTAAGATTACATGAGTAAGACTCACTTTTATAACCAGTTATCGTGGCATGTCCTTGAAATTTAGTCACAATTTTAAAAATATTGCGTACTTTTAATCACCAGAAAAATGTTTTCATACACACCGTTTTTGTTCAGATTCTTCTTAGGCACAGGACTTTTTTTTCTTGGTTCGAAGTTTGGTATAAATATTGCCCTGAACTTCAGGTGTATGTCCAAAATTCAGACGGTTGCTGTAGAAGGTCAATGGAACCATGTATACAGTTCAAAACCAGTTGATTGGATATGATTAGAAATCGAAACCACTACAGGAGCCTCAAGCCAGATTTGAACAAAATATCTCAAATGAGCTAACAGAAACTCGAAACAGAACTGCAGCAATGACTTTGATTTCTGATTTGATTTTCTAACATGGGGAGGATATGGAAAGCCAAAAAATATGTGATTTTTTTTTAAAATTTTTTTTGATAAGAGGAATAGCATTTTTGCTCTGGGAAGGAACCTGTCGGGTTTTTGGTATGGTGACAAGGAAAAGGTGAAGGATGTGAGCAGAGTTAGCAAAATGGCAAAGTTGCACTCATTTTGAAATTTGTGACCACATTTTAAATTACACTAGTGAAAGTGCTGGAAATAGCAAATACATAATCATCGAATTCATTTCATTCGTCGGGGATAAAATCCATCATCCTTTAAATATTGAAAGACCAAAGGAATAATAAGAAGGAAGAAAATAACAAACGTTGGACAGAAAAACAGTTATATCAAGTCTCTGTGGATTCTACGTTTATTTTCAATCACCTGCTTTGACATTACACGAATTAGTACCCAGAAAAATCACAGCACCTAAACCTGATCAAGCACTCTGTCAACAACTATGCATCAGTCACAAACAAGTTAAAGTCGACAATATAAACAAGGTAAAGTCTACTATATGAATCCTCACTGAGATGTTTCCTGATAATGGTGTCATCAAATTGTAGCAAGTATAAATCACTGAACTGAAGCATTCTGGAAAAGACTCCCTAACATGCATTATTAGTATGAATAGAACTGATACATACCAAAATAAGGAGGCACACGTCAGAGCAAGTCTTCAAGTAAAAACCATACAAGGCTTTGCTCATCTGCTGCTTACAATTATCATTAATATTTAAGTAGTACCAAAATTTAGTAACAAGGGAAATGACGAACGGTCAAAGTTCTTTTAACGTAGACATATCCCTTCCCATCATAAATTTCTTAACACGAGACAAGCAAACACTCAAAACAAAAAGAACCAAACAAAATCATTCCTTGGGGGACTGCATGTGCGACTATTTCCTGCAATATCCTCTGAAGCCCAAAGTTAGTGTCAGAGAAGCTATGGTGCGTACTCATATGAACGAGAAAAAGGGTATATGAAGAATAACTTCGCATCTTCGTCTATCATAGCCAGGATACTAGACTGGACCAGACACACCCGATCACGAACTTTTGGCGGGAGATTCAGATTTCAGATCTTGTTTACTTTTGCCTCTCTTCATTTTGGCTTTAACCCGAGACTTTGTCACAAGAGTCTTCACTGTGTTGGCAAAATTCCCAGCTGCCATGATAATCAGAAGGATCCCACAGGTAACAACCTGCCACAATCGCATTATTTTAGAAACTAATTAGTTAATGATAGGAAGGGGCTGTTACAGTAACATGATTTCTTTGGCATGGCAGCTTACACAAGATATATATTTGAATATTACAGAAGGGAAGGTCTAATTTAGTTACTTGTATTGTTTGATTTGTATTCTCAATGAGCAACCAAACTAGATAACATCTGGTGGAAGAGAGGGAGTTTCATCTTACCTGCCACTCAGAAACAACACCAATGAATGCTGTCTTAAGCAACAAGACTCCAACATATGCTTCGAATCCCTGACATTAAGAACAAACGACATACAGTCATTTGGAACCAGCTCAAAAGATAGAACACTACACCGATAAAATTTCATGGAACATTCTGTGTACACAGGGATAACCAATTAAACTGACTTTTTTTCCTGACAAGGATAGTGCCTATTGTTGAATGTGATGTCTAGAATAGAAGTATCATCCACAAAAGGTGATATCAAGTCATAAAAAGGCTACAGATTATCACCCATGACCCATCTAATTGTAATTAGCTACTTTTAGCTCAGATTAAATTATGTTGTTACACCAATATTCAGAAACTTCACACAACTCACAGGGGAACTCATGTCAAGGTTCACATAAAAAACGGATACTTGACAGACTTTAGGTATCTTTGAACTATACAGTCACTAAAAGGGGGCATCTATGATATTTAACATGCATTCACTAGGTACATCATGCAAAGTTACACTAGCATTCCCACTCTTGGACTACTTAAAAAAAATCAACTTGAACCTAAAGGCCCAGTCTCCTGAAACAACAGGAGCGAAATTTCAAGAGAAAAAGTAGCTCAGTTAAAAAAAGTCCAAATTGAACTCAGTCTACCTGCAAGATAAATAATACAGGGAAGAGCAACAATAATTGACCATCTACTCCAGCAGTCTCTCCCCACACAACATCCATTCTCCTGGCCTGAAATCAGAATTCAGAAGACAATATATCACAATTAGGATAGGTTAATGGATGATAGGGAGTACAAATGTCTTCTTTATTCAGCTACAAGGCAAAACTCATTCCCTCAACATGAGGGAGCCAAAAGAGTGACCTTGAAGTCAATCCTCAAGGTTTTTTGTTATTTAATCAACCCACAGGGCAGAGAAATATTTTTATTTTTTTGATAATTGTGGTGTCCGGGCCCTGTGGAGAGAAATATATCAGCCTATATGCACTAGATACCAAAAACCATCTTGGTGCTTATTATTAAAATTTATTTGACTTATAAAAGGAATAGTTCATCTGCACAAAATTAGTGAAGCTTTAAGACGGATTTTTAAAAGGACAAATTACGACACACGAAGAGTTTCTTAGTCAAACTAGTGATTCCTCTGTTTGCGTACCTTTCCTAATGCAATACGAGTGTACAGTCTTTGTCTCTGATATCTATTCTGAAGGAGCATTGCAACGCCTTGCATGATAGCCCATTTCAGGAACAGTTGCACACCCCTCTGCAATGGATTGTACATTAAAATGAGTATTATAAATCTTAAACATTATAGAGAAGTACATTTTTGTTGATAAGCAGCTAAATAAATATACATGTCATTTTTAAATGAATAAAAACCTGCTTCTGTGAACAGTTAGGTTCTCTTTCTATTTCCCAGGTAAGACTTATAAGTGCCATGGCCATAGCACAGTAGTGATGTTTTATCCACCTGCAACAATACGACCATAATTTCTGTTAATTAGCTGTCTTTTGTGTTCAACATATATAATATTGGTAACAAACTTTAGAATCATTAAAATTGCACTGCTACTTCAGTTACATAAACAACAAAGATAAGCGTTTTACTTGACAAACATAAAACAAATGACAGATGTTAAATTTTCATTGGCAATAGGGGATGTTGCTCAATTACCATGGACGAATATCACTTCCATTCGCTCTCAAAATGTTCTCTCGCAGAGCCAAACCTGTGTAGAGGTAAAGCAACCAGGCCTGAAGACATCGAGGAGCTCAGAATACTTGTTTGTTAAATGTAAAAGTTTCACTATAATAAATAGGAAAGCAAGACTACCATGAATATGAAGTCAAATGACAAAATCTTCTATTTAAATGTACTACCTGGTAAAGTTGGACTGGCAATGCTGGTAAACATCCATCCCACATCCAAGACCTCAAGACTAGTAGCACCGATGGGAAAAGAAGGAATAGATATGCTGTCCTGTCCTGTCAAGAGAAGATCGGATATAGTAATTACAAGAAAGAGGTTTGCACATAACTGAGGCTTTCCATGTATCCAAGTCATTTATCCATTTTATCTGGGAAGGGCAGAATCATTTCAAGTTTGATTGATAGAAGCAGCACTAGCTCTCTTCCCTCATAACGAAGTGTAGATGGTCAGTTAGAAAGAACTTCAATAATATGTAATTCAAGTTGAAAGGAGCAAAAACATAGATAATAGTAGCTTATCCCAACTATTATCTGGGACTAATATTAACCAGGCTTTGTCAAGGCATAAGCCGCTGGCCTCAAAGTCTACTCCATATACAAGAATCTGTTCAAAGGAGAG